AGCAAAAAACAAAAACTCTAGCTTTCTATTTTTTCTACTTGCTTTTCTTTGTGTGTGTGTGTATAATATCTATCTATATATATATATATATATATATATATATATATATACAGATATCACACACACACACACAGAAAAACAAGTAGATAGAATAGAAAAATTTTTTTTCTCATTTTGTCTCTCATAGTTGAGGTATACCTATGATGAAAATTACAGGCCTCTCTCATCTTTTTAAGTGGGAGAACTTGCACAATTGGTGGCTGACTAAATACTTTTTTGCCCCACTGTATATACACCTTGCTATGTGTACTGCGTTAGGCTAACCGAGACTTGTCATTTGCACTAATATATTGTTGCTCTTTTGTTAGTTTTGACTGCTTTTATTGTCCTCATTTGTAAGTCGCTTTGGATAAAAGCATCTGCTAAATGAATAAATGTAAATATATATATATATATATATAAAAGAAAAAAATTTAAATTAGTTTGAAAGCATGCTCAGAATGACAGCGTGATTCTGGTCAGAACACAACTTGTTGCACAATGAGCAAAATGAATAGCTTATTCATGAATATATTTGTTCATGTCCAACCTAATCCACTAAATTTTGTACATTTCAATGACAGAAACATCTATTCTGTTGATTATTATCATCCTTGCTCCTTTTTTCAGTCGAGTTGGATGTGCTGCCTGTCAAGTGCTAGTTTGTAGGCTCTGAATGTAAGCCTCTGTTTTTATACTTGCCAAATGATTTAAAAATGACTAACGCTGATAATTGAAGAGAATATTAAATATTTGCAAACATAAATTGGATGTTTTTACACAAATATTGGTGTCACTCTGGCATCTACAGATGAAAAAGAAAGTGTGGTAAGCTGAGGAAACGAAACATTTTCTGGCACATCTCTTTTCCAATGCACTGCATTATTGGAAGCCTCAAAAAGAAGAGGGAAAAATGGCAGATGTTTCTTTTTTGTCAGTATCAAGCAGATAGTCAGCTGCACTTGAACCATGATTGGTTGCTGAGAGTTTGGCTCCATTAACAAGATGTTTACTGGAACAACCTGAATTATGATCATATCTTAAATCTTTACTGCATCTACATTTTGCTCCTCTTCATACCTCGCCTTCCTTTCTGCTTCCCAATCATTCAATAATTTGAGTAGAAAGTTGTAAAGAGAAAAAGAACAAAGAACCAAAAAAAAAAAAAAAGAACAGAGACACTTTTATTAATTTACTGAATCATACAAACACTTTGCTACCTGTAAATACAATATATTTTAATTGTTTTATATGGATGTTAGTCACTATAGCCTAAACCCAGTGCAAAGAGCAGCAAGTACAAGCGAAGATTCAGCGGTCAGGAAAACCCCAAAGAAACTCTCAAATCTCACTGTCTTGCAATTTGTTTCATTATAAGGCATTTATTCATACAGATTATGTTGTGTTAAGTAACCTAGACCTTGTCTACCAAACCAAGATGGCCAGAGGACTATAAAAATCCAAATGGCAATTACCATTTAAACCAGCATTCATACTATCACACATAGAGACCAAAGTACCTACTGTTATTTTCTATGCCTCTTTTAGTGGATATACTAAAATAACTCTCGAGTTCATCCATCCATTAGCAGATGCAGGCCCATTTCTTCTTGCTCTCTTGTGCGGTTATGACTCTTGCTGGGATATTGAAGCTCTCAGATCTGCAGTGTAATACACATTCGTTCACACTCTCCCTTCTCTGGCTCTTCAACCTCTGTGCCAATGTCACAAAGATGCTGTCCACCGGGTCCCCTTTGGGACCTTTGGCTGAAGTAAGATAAAAAGACATTCCGTGGACTTCAGCCAAGTGACGAGCCTGGACGATTAACACCGAAGCAGTCGTCGAAGTGACCAGATCGGCCTTGTTGCAAACGAGGGCACGGGGTATATCCAGACCAAGAGAGTGCTGACGGCACTCGTCCATCCACAAGGGAAGATTGCAGAAACTAGTGGGGTTAGTGACATCAAAGACAAAGACAATTCCGTGCACATTGCGATAGTAGTGCTGCACCATGCTTTTACGAAAACGCTCCTGACCTGCCGTGTCCCAGAGCTGTATCTGAGGTGAGACAGAAAAGGAAGAGATTCATATTTTTGTATACTGGGAATTTGACTTATGACCTTGCCATTGCTAGTGACATGCTTTACCATTTGATCTATAGAATCATTGAAAACTGAAATTAAATCTCCATAGGGTTAATCTGACCTAAGGGCAGTGCTGGGTAGGTTATTTACAAATTATAGTCCGTTACTGATTCCAAATTATCTGACAAAAATTGTAGTTAGTAACGTAATCTATTACATTACACATTTTAGGTAATATAATCAGACTCCTTTTTGATCACTTGCGACCTAACTTGTTAATCACATTGCTTTAAATAGGATAAAACTGTATCATATTGATATAAAAATGCAAAGAGAATGAAAATATTCATTGTTAAATTAAGAAAATGAAGCATTAAACATTACGTCAAGGTTTCATAAAATGAGGTTCACGCAGGAACGGCAAGGGGTTTGTGAGTTTAAATGAAAACCTAATAGTTAAATCATGAAAAATGTAGAATTAAAATAAATCTCTTTAAAATAAAAATAAAATACTTTGTTTACCTGCATGTCATGTGGCCATTAACCAATGTCAGAGAACCGTGAACATGCAAATGTGTTATTCATGTATGACCTTAAAAAAAATTGGGAATCCCTGCATTACATGCAAATAAGAAATAATGTACATGTTTGCATTTTAATGTGTTTGAAAGACAAAAGCCTTCCAAGGACAAAGACTTTTGTGAATAATATGTAATCAATAAAAAAGTAAGTGTACTCTGATTACGAGTATTTTAAAATGTAATATAATCTAATTACAAGTACTTATTAAAACCTACTTTAAAAAAAAATCTAATTATGTAATCCAGTTTACACTGGGCTATAATAATGAAAATGTTTATATACACAAATACGGCAAAGCAAAAGCAAATCTGATTAATTCATATCACAAGAGGAACATGCGAATAAATATGACAGTAAGATGTTCACAGAAGACAGACCCATAAACCACAATGCTGCATTGACTTTGCAGAAGTAGAAAATGCCAATGTACTGCTGAAGTCTAGACAACATCTTAAAATTAACATGACATTTAAATCACAAACTTAATTTGTTCTTAGGCAAATGTACTCAAACGTAATGTAATATGGTTATCTTTAAGGCAGTTGCTGTTTAATGTTTGTGCATAGGACTATTTTTCTTAAAAGTGAAGTCCAATTCCTCATTTTGAAGCTCAGAAAAGATCACAACAAAACGGTGAAATCCCACGATTTGCTCTTGTTCCTCTATGGGATTCACACGCAATAAATCTATCTACCACCTAAAAATTCAAGAAGTAAACATTTACGTCGGTTATTGAATTGACATCAGAGCCGGTAAATCCAAATTCTTCAGTTTAACTAGAGTAACTAGAGCAATGTATCTTTCGAACAAGTCCAACTCATTCATTTAAACGATGAGTAAACCGATATTAAGAGGATTTGTGTAACGCTACATATGATTCAGTTTATGGGGTGAAAAGTTCATTTAACCGTTACAAATAAACCGTTCTGATAACGATTGACTTGATTAAAAACAGAAAAATTACACACAGAACACCTCTCCAGCCAAGTGATGTTGAGATTTTACGGCACGACGTAAAAAACGCTGAATCGTCTTTTTCCTTTTAAACGCCGTTCGAAAGATCCGATTCGTGTTGAATGAAATCGCGTTTTTGGAACGATTTTATTGCACCGCATAAATTATCTTTATGCATCCTAGCAACATTTTGTAATTGGCTCACAATATATACGTGTTTCATAAAAAACCAAGATACCGTTAAACTCAGAAGTCTTACTTTGATTTTCTCGCCTTCGATCTCGAGAAGTTTCTCACGAAAATCCACCCCGATTGTAGCCTCCGTTCTGCTGGGAAACTGTCCGGTGCAGAAGCGGTGAGTCAGACAGGTCTTACCGACACCGGCATCTCCAATCACAATAATCTTACAGGTACGACGGCAGCGCACCGGGTTACCGGTCGATGAACCGGAGCTCTCTATGGACGAATCCATCTACAGTTCCAGTGGCGAAACAAACATGTGAAATGGATGTTAAAAGGAGGCTAAAAGTTCAGAGCACTCCTCACATGCCCATGGTTAGATTAGAAGAACTTCCCCTTTAAATAAGAGAAACTTGGACTCGTTTTCAAAGCCCACCTTCATAAGACGTCAAAGCAGGTAACTGATGTAAACTTAAGCTTCTCCCTCTCTCTTTTACAATATAATAAAAAAACACAAGTATTCATTGCATGCATGAATTCATGCATGCAATTATGCATACAATAAAAGGGGGGTAAGAACCGTTTTTAAAAGGGAAGTCTGACATCCAGCTTGGACAGAAACCAAAACAGCCCAGTTATTTCATATCCCTCTCAGTAGCTAGAACGGTTTCTAGTGTAACTGAGGCAAAGTATGCTTATCTATGTTATCTTCTATGTTTTGAAGACTCTACCAATGTCAATGTGAAGGAACAGTGATGTGCATGGACAGAGCACTCCTCACATGCCCATGGTTAGATTAGAAGAACTTCCCCTTTAAATAAGAGAAACTTGGACTCGTTTTCAAAGCCCACCTTCATAAGACGTCAAAGCAGGTAACTGATGTAAACTTAAGCTTCTCCCTCTCTCTTTTACAATATAATAAAAAAACACAAGTATTCATTGCATGCATGCAATTATGCATACAATAAAAGGGGGGTAAGAACCGTTTTTAAAAGGGAAGTCTGACATCCAGCTTGGACAGAAACCAAAACAGCCCAGTTATTTCATATCCCTCTCAGTAGCTAGAACGGTTTCTAGTGTAACTGAGGCAAAGTATGCTTATCTATGTTATCTTCTATGTTTTGAAGACTCTACCAATGTCAATGTGAAGGAACAGTGATGTGCATGGACTGGTGCCATGTGTGTGCTCTCACGATTTTTTTATTACAAAAAATCTATCATACAACAAACTCTTCTTTGAACACTGTAACCCATTTGGATCAAACAGAGTGACAGAATGAAGTAAGATGAAGGAGAAAGGGGGAAAAGGGTTTTCTTCTGTCAATTTCACAGGCTCTTGATCACAGTTTACTGTCCGTTTGTTGGATACAGCCTCTTCTTCAAGATATGCAATAAGGAACCTCTACACATGCCGCTTCCCATTATGACATCACTTCCTGTCCATGTCCAGTCTCCCCCCTAAAGTACATCCAACGGTTCAGCTGCCTTTTCACACCAACTCAAACCAGATCTTTTGCACAAGCCACATAACCTTTTTAAGCTTTTATTTTTCATATAAATTACTCTTTAAAACAGGGGAAAGATGGGTTTGAGTGCGCTTCTCTAGCTTGGTTTGTTGACTATGGGATTTGCTTTCACCATTGCACAAAGTTTGCATTCAAACATACTGTATTCAAAAGGGGATGCATGTTTGACTAGTTTTCAGTTAGAGAGTAGTCATCAGCAAGGTTAAAAAAGTAAAATGGGCAATTTATCCCCCCCCCCAACACTCCACCTCTTCTTCTTCCTCCACTCCAAAACACAGTCATTGTCTGTCAGTCCTAACTGCAATTTCTGGGGGCGTAGAAGATCGCAGGAAGTTCCTCACAGAATCGCATTAGTCAACTGCAACCATCTCGGGTGTTTGACAGTGGCGGTGCCACACCGCTTCCCATTCCACCTCCTCCCTCTTCAGATCTTCACATATCATTGGCCAGCTCCTCAGTTTCTGTGGAGACGTCTCCATTGACCGCAATCTTCATGTTTTCCTCATAGCCTGGAGGCATGAAGGCCAGCGTATAGGGGTAGATCTTAAGACACTCCGCTCGGTAGAACTCTGCGGTTTCCTTAGCCTCTCCGAGGCTGCCATCACGCAGGCTTTCCAAAACCTCTGTACAGATCTGCAAAAATGAAATAGTAATATAAGCATGTAATATACTAGGGTTTCCCAATTGGGGGTTTGCGAAGGACATCAGCTTTAAAAAAAACAAAAAAACAGAAAGCTGTGGTCAATTCAGTATTGTGAAGGAAATCACAGTTGTTTTACACTACTTACCCAAACATTTCCATTCTTATCACTTTTTATACATTAACCAGCTCGTAAAATCCTCTTAAAGGGGTCATATGATGTTGCTAAAAAGAACATTATTTTGTGTATTTGGTGTAATGAAATGTTTATGCGGTTTAAGGTTCAAAAAACAAATTATTTTCCACATAATGTACATTATTGTTTCTCCTCTATGCCCCGCCTTTCTGAAACGTGTTGATTCTTACAAAGCTCATCGGTCTGAAAAGCGAGGTGTGCTCTGATTGGCCAGCTATCCAGTGCGTTGTGATTGGCAGAATACCTCAAGCGTGTGACGGAAATGTTACGCCCTTACCATACTGTGATGCCCTGTCTAGCCGGAGCGACGAGACAAAAACATTAAAATCCTTTATAAACAAGGCATTTGTTGCATCCAGTGGGGACATAATTACGGATTATAATGACTTATACTGTCTTTTTACGCGTTGCATCGTGCCGCGTAAACATAAAACCATGTCTGCATTTGTGATCGGAGAAATTACAAACAACAAGTGCTACTCTACACTGCTCAAAACTCGCGTTTGAATCATCAGTGGCAAATCCTTTAAATATGAAAACGTAGTACAGTCTGTGAGTCAGAACAGCCGGCATTGTAGTCTACTCTACCAGGATCAGGAAACAGTCCTCCATAAAATGTGCTGCACACATCTGAATATTTGGGTTGAAGTGTTCTGGAACAGTGTTGTAAATAGACTTAACCACTGATTTCTAGTCGTGTCTTCTTTTGGAAGGCCAAACAAAGTAGTTTCTCTTTCACAACGAAACACAGCGTCTTCACAACATGGCGGCGGCGGTGCAGCAACAATACACATGTGAACATTTGGGTGGCGTTATGCAAATCCACATTGTGACGTAGACATGTGGGGGCGTGTTTAAACGAGCCATTTTGGTAGGGCGTGGACCAGTCTTAACTTTGATAAAGAATATCTCTTTGGGTTTGAGACTTTAGTCTTTGCAACTTTAGGGATCTTATCTATTCACGAACAGCTTCCAGCTCCAAAGAAAAAGGAAAACTTGAAATCGCATCATATGACCTTTTTAAGGTCATGTAGCCCATTATGTACCTGAATATTTCTGTTGTTCAGTGATTCATCAAGTGCTATAGCCAGTTCCACCGCTTTCTTCTGTGTTGAAGGGTCTAAGTAGAACATCATTTTGGCAGCTGTAAAGCAAGAAAAAAAGGTGAAATTGAACATGAAAAAGTAGCAGTTTGAAATTTGTGAGCACATAAAGTGTTGTGTATGTGCACCTGCTACTCGATGAGGGATGGAATTGAAGTACTTGGTGAGGAAGGCCTGGTTGAAGTTCTTTGCATTACTTTCCCCAAACAGCCTGGAGATTTCCTGCTTGAGAACCATGCTGACCGATTCTGCTAGGTCTTTACTTTCGGACACTGTTAGCCAATCAACAGGAACACATTACCAAACAAATTTGCAATTCAACCAACGCATGGAGGTGAACATGGTGTCAAAAGCAACAAATTAAGACATAATAGTGACTGATTGATAAAATGTAAAGAAAATACAACCAAACTAATAGCAAGAGGCACCCTGGGTTCACTCACCTCCTTTAAAGAAGCGCACTAGACACTGGTGAAGCCAAGGGTGGTCCGGGTCTATTGCATAAGCCCTTTTCACTGACTGCAGCATTAACAGGTACTTTTCTGTGAGGAAATTGAGGACAAGGAACACTGAAATTATGCAGCTATTCAAGTTGAGATGTAGCAACAGATAATTTGTTTCGTATTCTGATGTTCATCCAAGAGAAATGGATTATTAAAAAAAGAAAACTATTATTAGACTGTACAAATGGAGATGAGAATGGAGTTCAGAGATGTAAAGCATGTACCTTTCCTAAAGTAGATCTCAAAGGCCAGAAGGTGTGTGTCTATCTTATTCTTCACCAGGTTTTTCAAGGGTGTCAGAAACTTTACAGCTTCATCTAATGGGTTCTCCACCTTAAAAATGAAAGAGAAACAAAACATGTTTTGTCCAAGCACAAAGAACAGGCTTCGAGTTTCTTCGAATTTCCCCTTGGTATTCCTACTAAAGAGATGAACTGTGCTGAAAATCTTTCAGATGAAGAATTCCCCACTTTCACAAACATTCCTCTCAAAACAAACACACCCTGGCCAGTTTCTCTGGTATAAGTTCCTCTTTAGGTCCGCCGATCTCTTCGTCATCATCCTCTTTTTTCTTTTTCTGGTTCTTTAACTGTTTCTCTTTCTCCGCATTCTTTTTTTCTTCCTCCAGCTGTGCTTTCTTCTGTGCTCTCCGTTGCTTGTTCCTTAACTTCTTCAGTTCTTTGTCAGTCAGGTTCCCTGTTTGGAAAACCCAAGCAACATTGAGCACACTTCTTTTTAAAGTAAACATATACAGGCTTGCTTCAGTTTATGGAAGCCCGTTTCTGGCATGGAATCATCAAGGTAATTGCAACTTTTTCCCCCTCACACAATTTCTCACAATTTAATTTAAAATACTTTTTTCTCAGAACTGTGAGAAAACGGTCTGAGAAAAAACTAATTGCAAAATAAACACTTTGGAAAATAAACTCAAAATTGCTAAATACAAACTCAGAATTCTGACTTTGTTTCTTTGAATACTAAGTCTACATCTCATAATTCTAACTTTCCCCCCCCTCTGAATTCTGAGTTTAAATCTCGCAATTCAGTTTTGTCATTTCCACCACAGAACAAAAAATACTAAATTAATTGTGACTTTTTCGTCTCACTATTCAGACTTTTCCCTCCTCACTATTCTACAAGGATAAAAGTCAGATTTGTGAGATGAAAAAGTCACAGTTACCTTAATTTTTTAATCTGTAGCAGAATCTGGCTTCCATAGATTTATGGCATATTACCGGTATCAGCCTGTAGTTCCTTGCTGTCATCCGTTAGCGGGTTGTCATGCAGGTTGAGGTAGATTTGGATTGCGGTTTGTGCGGCTTTGAAGTAGAATGGGTGCATACGTAACACGTCCTCCAGTTTAAGCAGGTCCACATAGGAACGCAGCGTCATCTTCCGCATACAGTACGTATGGAAGTCAAACTGGTCATCTGTTATCTCTACAAAGTGCTGTTATGAACGAATGAGAGAGGGAAGTAATCAGATGAGGAGGTAAAATCAGCACACAAATACCATGATATAATGACAAAGCAAAAATGACTGACCCTTTCAATCTCATGGCATTTTTTCAGTGCTTCTCCATATTTCTTCATGGATTTATAGGCCAGAGCACATTCAGTCTGGAACCACATGCACTGCATCTCATTCAGATTCTCTACCGCAGACGCTCCCTCCTGAGAGAGAGAGAGAAACAGAGCAGTTACACACAAAACACCGGTGAGTAGATTATATATACACGAATGTACACACACATTTCCCTTACCCTTGTGAACTTGGCGCACATTTCCTCAGCCTCCTTGACCAGACCTGCTTTAAGCAGGTACTTGGCGCATTTAGAGTTAATAAAACGGTCTGCTGTGTCCAGGGCCTGAGCTTCGTCCATCCAACGAGCTGCTTCCCGGATGTTCCCAGCATGCTGAGTGAGGAAAATACAAACGGGACCCAATGGAGCCAGGATATGACAATCAAATGACTGAACCCACCTAATTATTCTGCATTTCTTTTAATTAGTCACACTGTTTGGTGAGACACAGTTGTTGCAATCATCGCTTCAATTAGCATACTGCGATTTGAATTAAAAGAATTTCCAAAATGGTAATTGTATGCAATGCGTTTTGGACATCACCTTGTATATCTTGGCTTTAATGAGGAAGAGCTCTATCAGAGTAGGTGTGCTCTCAATGGCAGCATTGATGTAGTCGAGAGCCATGGTGTGCTGGCCGATCTGATCAAAGTGCTGAGCCAGGAAATACTGCACCCAGAGTAACGTAGTGGGTGGCTCTTCCTTGCCATCATCTATATGTAAACATCAAAAGAACCAATCAGGTAATACTAATGCACTAACACATCAGGTGGCTCACCAAAGAGTCAAATTTTTCATCAGTTAATTTCTCCATAATTTCCAATTATAATGTTTGTTTAAAAAAAAAAAAAATTTATATATATATATCTGGGCTCGACAATAAGGACTGCCAGATGGCACGGGGTCAGCGTAAAAGACTTGGGACAGTTCACAGATTTGTCATTGGCCCGATCGGGCCACTGCTGCATTGTCACAAACGTTTAGTATTTGCACGTGTTTTTATGCCTTGCTAATTTAAAAATTATAAAAGCATTCAAGCAAGACGCGAAAGACGACTACATTAAAGGGGTCATATGATGCGATTTCAAGTTTTCCTTTCTCTTTGGAGTGTTACAAGCTGATTGTGCATAGATAAGATCCCTGAAGTTGCAAAGACTAAAGTCTCAAAACCAAAGAGATATTCTTTATCAAAGTTAAGACTCTGCCACCCCCCCCTAAAACGGCTCGTTCTAACACGCCCCTACATATCTAGGTCACTATGTGGAAATATTTGCATAATGCCGCCCAAATGTTCACGCAAAGAAAGGCAGCGTGGTTTCAGTAACCGCAGTTAGTGGCGTTCATTCATAAAAACTTCTACACCTACTCTACACTTTGTTTAGCATCTCAACCGATTTGAATCGTCACATATTTGAATCGATTTTCAACCAGCTCGCGGTAAATCGTTACATCCTTAGTTAATATATATTTAATTTACACAGTGGAGTACAGATGCACCATTCGACTGGCCATTTTTATTTTTTTTATTTCAACCGATTTCCATTCCGGGCTTGCATACAAACTGCACTGCAATCATAGTTCAAAATGTCATTTGTGTGTAAATATTACTTTGTGTGTAAACGGATGTTAACAGAGGCCAGAGACACTGAAGACAGACGCAAATATTAGTAAACACTGTAGCAGGCAGAGCAAGAGCACGGTTCACAATCTGCAAAATATTGAAAGAAAATCCTAAATGTTGAATTAGGGGTTTATATGAATGTATCTCTGTGGGGAACTGACTTTCTTCAGAAAAGTTTACATGGCGTTTTATGGATTTAAGGTAATAAGTACAGCGGGAACCAAGGAAGTGCTGTTCCATAAGCACCACCTGCTGTCAGAGAGTGAATTTGCATTCTCATTCAGCCCATCTGCTGTTTTTCAGAAAGCATCATTTCATTTGTATCTTTGTTCTAAACATTCATTTGTGCTATTGCTTGTAATTTGTTCTTATTTACGGACTGTTCACTTGTCTTTAATAATGTTTGAACTAGGGCTGTGCGATATGGACAAAAAAAAACCTATCACGATTTCTTTGATAAATTTTACCATTTCGATTTTAATCACGATTTTGACACCCACAGACATGCTTTACAGTCATAAATGCATTCAGTGTGAATTTGAAACATATTTCCAAAAGAAAACCAATTAGAGCTTTATCAAGAAGCTGTAACATGTCTCTAGAACAGACATAAGGCAAAATAATCACTAAGTAAAGGTGTAACAAAATGTCTCTAGAATAGACATATGGCAGAAAAAAAAAATCCTGTGTCCAGGGATTTTTTTTGCCATGCATTGGTCATAGAGCTCTTTGTGGTGTTGCCTCAGATGTTGAACTAGATTTGTTGTGCCAAGTTCACACGTACTCCGTCTGCAGTGTGTATACAGTATGTGTATACGGTGCAGAAGCAGCACAGACTAATTTTGCTTTCACACAGGATGCGTTTGCAGGCCGCTTCTGATCCTGATGTTTACCACAAACACAACATTTATCCATTATTTTGATTTCAAATCCAAACGTTGTTTCTGAAAATGCCTTTTCAGCATTTTGATTCTCTTATCACAGTACAGTAATACAATCTTTCATAGACATATATTCACATTTAAACTCAATAAATATAACTTTGTTTAACTACCACCACGAGTGCCACCTATTATTGCCTTGTTTATCTAAAAGTGCACTTTTCCTTGTTTTAAACCTAGCCAAAAAGCATGTGTTGACTGTGAAACAGTACTTTAATTATATGCATTTATGGTGTAATTACAAAATTTCCGTGTCAATCCATGTTAATTTTTACCCACAGCAGAAATAGACTCTGTGTGGAAACGATCGCAGCATGACTGCTGCAGACGCCTGGAGTGCACTGCCGGACCGCAATCGCGTGCAGTGTGAACGCTCGGATCCATTAACATGGGCACGGACAAAATACGCACCACAGACGGAGTGTGTGAACCTGGCTTTACGTTTGTATGCCCACCCGGTCTGTTCTGTTCTCGTGCTCCATTTAGGCGCGCGGCATTCTGATTGTTTCGGATAGCATATGAAGGTCAGGGGCGCAGAAAATCGTGCTGTAAAGCGATTTAGAAATAGAGTATGCTCAAATCGCGATTTTATGGTGATTTTGATTAATCGCACAGCCCTACTTTGAACTTTATAATTATTAGGCTAGTAGTTTTTGCTGTAGTATCGAAATTGGTTTGGAAATTTATTTGGTATCTACAAATTTTGGTGTCATATACGCATATACGCTTAAAAGATAACATGGGTAAAAAAAATTACGATACAAGCAACTTTTTTTTGTGGCAGTAAATATTGGCAGGTTGGCAGGGCAAATAAAACATTATATATATATCTATATATATATAGATATATAT